TGTTTATGAACTCTCAACAGTGCAAGGCTACAAAAACACAAACCATCAGCTCATCTCACTTGCAGAAGTACAAATAAAAGTAAAGATGGCTAATATGTGATTGCTATTGTGAAATATTAAAAATAATAAAAGTCAAGTGACAGAGGGGAGCAAAGTAGAAAGTTGATGATGCATGGAGCAAGGATATTGAAAGTGGATGAGTAAATACCTGGGGTCAAACATTCAAAGCATCAAACAATGAACAAGAGAGGTGCAGAAGAGAGCGTGGGGAGGGTGAAGCAAGTGGAGATGAGTGTTAGGGGTCATTTGTAAAATAAGGAAGCAGCAACAGTGCAAGGGAAGGTTTACAAGATGTTAGTACGGTCTGCTATCATGCGTATTTTACAGATGGTGATACTAACAAAAAGGCAAGAGGATGGACAGGATTAAAAATGAGTGCGAAACACAGAAAAAATTAGAGAGGCAGGGCTGAGATGGTTTGCACATGTGCAGAAGATGGAAAGTGAATATACTGGCCAAAGCATGCTGAAGATGGAGCTGCCAGGAAAGGAGTAACACCTCATGGATGAAGGTCGTAAAGGAGGACAGTGGGCTGGTGTGACAAACAAGGATGGTAAAGAAAGGGTGAAATGGAGGCAGATGACTAACATAAAATCTTATCCTGAGTAAAACACAGAATGAAGGCATGTGAAGTAATAAAAGTTCAGATGTATTAATATGTATGCAGCGTAGTTATGTAGTGGCAGATCATTTGTGATTTATAGTGGAGACAAAGTTTAAAAAATTAGTTTGTAAATGTCCGTCGGGTGTAGTGGTTAACAAATTCACTTGCAAGCAAACAGTCTGTGGGTCAGTTCCAGCCTTGGGGTAACTGCTGAATCAAACATGCTGAGCTACTTGCTGAGGCACTGGAAGCAGTTTCTTTAATTCAAATGTGAATATCTCTGCTAAATGTTTGTGTGTAAACAACGCATAGGCCAAAAAAAAAACAAAAAACATTTTGCTTTTTTCATTTCATACATTTTGGATGTCAGGTTGTACAAGAGTAGTGCACATGTTGGGCCAGCTGTTTTTCCCTGCTTCTAGTTTTTAATATTACAGTAAGAGAGAGGACTTAAAGGGAGGATGCAGATGCAGGCCAAATAAGGTGATGTGAGGTAGACGCAGAGAGAGAACAAACAGATGATCTAACAATAGGTGAGGGAAGACGAGATTTTATACACAAACGGGGCACATTGAAGCCACGTGAAAGCATCGAGACCAGGGAGACAACCAAAGAGGAGTACAGTCAGATCGAAGATAATCAGGAAACTCTCAGAGACAGGGCTTTAAGCATAGGAGCTGCTGTTCACTGCGTATTTATGGGTAATCAAGCTTACTTGACGATTTTATTCTCCAAGTTAAAGTTTATCAGGTCTAGGTTGTGATTCATCAGCAGATAAAGAATCGTGGAAAACTCCACCGCATCCATCTGCAGGTCATCACTGAAAGACAGGGTCAGTCTGTCAGTTCGGTTTAAAGAGACAAATGCAGTGTAGCTGCGGGCCAAGTAAAGAAGAAGTGTGCCTCATTTCTTTAAAATTATAATTTCTTTTACGGCAGCCATGCGTCAATGTGTAAACAGTTGGAGATTTGAAAGATGAACATAGTGAGTGCAAAAGTGCTAGAAAATGTAAATCTGAATTCATATGCCAAACACACTTCAACAATTACTGTATTTATTCACATGACTGGTTGGTATTTACACAAAAATCCATTATAAGATAAATAAGGATTATAATGAGCTGTGAATCATGCAAAGCTACCCTGATACCATCTCTGAATAAAGACACCCTTAAGGAAGAACACATGAAACAATAAGCTTGTTACAGTAACATTAAGTTGTTACATGGGTCTCACTTTGTAGGTTTGTGGTGATGGCTGAAGTCTGCACTGATGAGGCGCTCTGTGAAACTAGAGCAGCTGGTCGCTCCAGTCTCTGGTATGTGCTGATCTGTGATGCTTCCAAGATGGCATCCATCACAGGGCCTCATTTTGGCACGACCAGAAAACCTGAACGAGATCAGCGAGACGAACAAAGGTGCATTCAGTAAAACTGTGGCTCGCTGGCAGAGGGCCAGGCGGATGATTTAAATCAGTAACAATACCACAGCGTGGAAACACGTCATTACAAGCATATGATCTGCACTGATGTTAATCACATAATATCATTGGGTCACTGCCTCCTCAGTATGTGGATACGTGCAAAATGTCCCATTACCTGTTCATATAAACAATTTCAACTAAAAAAAAATGTTTTCTTTTGTTTATCTATTTCCTGTAGCGATTAATATTTTATAATAATATTTGAATATTTAATACTAATAATATTTTATATTTTAATGATAATAACATTTTAATAACAACAATTTAAAAAAAATATTTTATCACTTGCTTACACAGTTTGTAAGTCTGTGTGCTTAAACTGAACTGGTATTGAGTCACATCTCTATAAATAGTAACACAAAGACTTCACTACTCTCAATCTTACAATAACAGACTCAGGTTTTTTTTTTTTTAACCTTCCTGGATGATGTCATGCAAACATGCCACACAAGAACACATTAACCCGGTGCAGAGGATTTAACATTTAAGAGGCTGGTTTCCTTTTTTAACATTTGTACAGTGAACCTGAGCGCCAATGTTTTAAGCGATGCATTCATGCAGAAACTTCTAAGAACAGCTTCTCGTTTACTCTGGTTTGTCAGCGTACCAATCTCAACATCAGTCACCACAAGGTGCTTTATATTGTAAGGTAGACCCTACAATAATACATACAAAGAAAAACCCAACCATCATATGACCCCCTGATTGTTAAATCAGATATATATGTACACATATTTTGTGTAAATACTGTTTGAAGTTATGCCAACAGTTTCCTCTTGTGTTTGAGAAGTCTTCTAACATTGGTTCAATTTAATAATGAGATGAATTATCATGAACTAAAATGCGTCAAAAACACAAATCACTGGTTAAGTTATTAACAAAACCCAGCTCTCAGACTGAATCCCTCTATACATGCTAGCATTTCTGTTACACCACTATTGCTCAAATGGTCTTAGATCATCAGGTCGGTCCTTCTGGTTGTTTAAGGGTTAAATATAAAAGCTTAAGTCATCAACAACATCCTTTAAATCGCTTCTAAACACAAAAACCCCAAACGTTTTGTAGACTTGCAATGCCACTTATTTATTGCCCTTATATTATTTTTATTACGGTAATAATATTAATCACTTTACATTATCAACAAAGATGCTTACACTGTAACACTTGAAGCACATTTTATTGATTCTTATCTACAGGCCAGTACTTTGCATGCCTGCACTTTGTTGTACTGTGTTTGGTTACTCAAGCAAACGGAGCTCTTTCTCCACCACGGCTCACATAACACATAAAAAGCACTAAACAAATAAACACACCTAGCTTCTTTTCCTTTGTCATTCAGACTTTATGTGAATTCTCTGTGTTTGTCCAGCTTTAGTAATCGTATCCTCTACTGTTTGAAATTTTACACTCTAAAGCACTTTTTACATATATTCCACAATGCACATAAAAGGCTTAAGGAAACATTTGCAGGTGTTCCAGTGTCCATCGTTCTGTGTGGGAAAGAAAATGTCAGCCCTGACTGACTTTAGTTTTGAAGAAATAAACAATAGTAACTTAAAACGTGCACGATGGGTCAACTTGGTGGAGAATATTTTCTAAACTGCTGTAATGTTGCATTTAGTCCACTCCAGGCTGAGTTAAATATAAAAACAGAGCTGATCAAGCAGAAGTCTGTGCTGTGAAGCCAGATGTGGGGATTAGAAAGATAAGAAGATACTGTCCCCACGTAGTGCACCGATCCGAATATTGGGAGCATTTTGTTCTACTAGTAATCTGAGATCTCATTCTGACACACACATGACACGCATAAAAAAAAAAAAAAATGAACAATTCAACATATTCTGTCTACTTTTTAAAAGGTGTATTTTATAACGTATTATATTACCAACTAGGTATTGGTTATGGATGACCTCTGGTTAACAAGCATTTTTTTTATGAGGGTATTTTGAACGTGTGGATCTTGCTCACTGTGATTTCGAAAAAGCATACGGGGTGACTATTTTCACATGAATGTTTTTCAAGCAAAAGAAAACTGAAAAAAAAAAAAAAGAAAGCGCAACACACACCACACACACCTTTGAAATCCAATCCAAGCCTGACAGCTGTTCACAACTTTGACTGATCTTCTTTACTATTTCCTAACACTTAAAGACCAAACAACTACTTGTTTCATAAGGAAGAATAACCAAATTAAAGCTCTAGTCTGGAGATTTTTCATGCAGAGATACAGTGGGGCAAAAAAGTATTTAGTCAGCCAC